CAACCACTTTCGAAGATCCTTCTGGGATCGGGGCGTCGGCCATGCTGCTATGGCCTTGACCTTGTCTGGGTCAGCCCGAACGCCCACGTTGCTTACGAAGCAACCGAGAACTTTGATCTCTGGTGACGCGAAAACGCACTTGTCGATGTTGGCGTAGAGCTTGTTCGCTCGCATCACGTCCAACACTCGACGGAGGTGTCCTAGATGCACCTCCATGGCCGTCTTGCCTCCCTCGGCACGGCTATGGACGAAAATGTCGTCGAAGTACGTCTGTACGAAGGTACGCAAAGGGCGGAACAATTGCGTCACCAGGCGATTGAACGTCGCCGGGGCGTTAGACAAGCCCTGCGGCATGACGAGCCACTCCCAAAGCATGCCGCTTGGAGTGCTTACCGCGGTGAGCGGGATGTCACTCTCTCGCATCAGGATTTGGTAGTATCCGTCTACCAAATCCAGCGCACTGTACAGTACGCTCCCGGCCATGTTGTTCAACAACACATCCTTTCGTGGGATCGGTGTTTGGGCCGGCACCGTTGCGTTGTTCAGCTTGTTATAAGCGTGAACCAGACGCCACTTTCCGTTCGGCTTACGAACGCAGAAAGTCGGCGTCGAGTGCGGGGATTTCGACTCCCGCACCATGCCTGCCTTCGCTTTCGCGGCGAAGAAGGCATCAATGACCTCGCACTGTTCGCGCGGGAGAGGCCATTGCCTCGTGACACAATACTTTGTGCCGGGCACGAGATCAATCTCGTGCCGTACGCCTCGATCCGGTGGGAGTTGGGTCGGTGGGTGTTTATTCACCACGTCCGCATACTCCGTCACCAAAGGATACACCGGATCCTTGGGGTTCTTGAGAATCTCAGAACCCAAGCGCGCCTGACGCTGCTTGTTCATGTCTTCCAGGACGTTCTCGTCCAAGACAGAGGAGGAGTTCAGCTCCTCCTGAGTGGTCTCAGGTCTTATGAGTACCATCTCAGCGATCTCTCCAGCCTTGAGGTTGGCCAGGAAAGACTCAGCCGTCATTTCCTCGAGGTTCAGTATCTCTGCAACCTCTGGCAACTGTTCCAAGTGGACACCAGATGCCTTGACGGGTAAACCCGTCTCGCTATCGAAGATGTGATAGCACTCTTCCACCGGCCTTGTCGGAGGAGCCCGGGCCCTGGACTCCGAGTCGCTTGAAGCGACGTCGATCGGAACGAAGTTCGGATCCGACTTGAGGCGGCGGCGGCGTCTTTGCCGACGGCTTCTGTGACGGGGAGCTTTGCTGCCCACGTCTAGGGATGTCGTCGCTACGACATCCGAGGCACTCGTGGCCTCGTGTGGTACTGTTGTACCCACACAGGAAGCGTGTTCAACGCCTTCCTCTTCAGTTAAGGTCTGGGCGACCGCGTGTGGCACTGTGTTACCCACACAGGAAGCGTATCCGACGTCTTCCTCTTCAGTTATGGTCTGGGCGACCGTGAGTGGAACTCTGTTACCCACTCTGAACACGCTGTTCTCAGTGTTCATGACAGCTGCAGCTGTCTGCGGAACTAAGTTACCCGCCTGTGGACCTACGTTACCCACTTGGCCGGCGCCTCTTCTGGGCGCGGCCACCATCAAAACATCCTCGGAGTCGTCATATACGTCGACGACTCCCAAGCATCTGCCGGATGCTTTGGTACCCTGGCAGCCCTCGCGGGCGCCCCGGGTCCTGACAGAGGTGGGAACATGACTCACCAATGCTCTGTCGGACTGCGCAGGGCGGCTGGCACCGATTGCCTTGCCTCGCCAGTCGATCCAGGGCTCGTGCTTCTCAAGCCAGGGCATGCCCAGGATCATATCATATGGATCCATATCGAGAACAGTGAACTGTTCGAGGCTGTCAAAGTCTTCAAACTTGACAGCCAGATCCACTTGGACGTTGGGGACAGTGACGACCTTCCCGTCGGCCAGTCGCACTGACACCGTCCCGTTGCCCTTGCTTTCTCGCAAAGCTTCGGACAACTTGTTGCTGTTACGAGCAACCGTCTGGCGGCGTGCGAAATTCTTCGACGCCCCAGAGTCAATCAAAGATTCTAAAGGGGTGATCGTACCCGCGGTACGCAATCCGTGTACTACGAGCAAAGCCGTCGGCTGCTCTTCGGCCGATTC